AGTTCCCAGCTGGAACTTTTAAGAGGGACATGTCAAAATGGAATGGGTTCAGCATCACACGCTAGCATTACACCCATAATAAAAACATTTATGTAATTGTGCTATTTAAAATGCTGTTTTAATTTATTTTGAATGCATAGAATGAATCTAAAGGCAAAGCATGGAAGACTTATAGTTACAGAACAGAATGTAAATATTATAAACCTTGACAATGTAAATACAATAATAAAGTAAAACTGGGAAGTAGAGAGAGGGAAGTAAAAAAGTAAAAGGCATTAAATTCCTCCACATTGTAGCAAAAAGTCTAAAAATACCATCTCACGTTGGTGAATCAAGAATAGAAATGTATTCCTTTAAAGTCTCAATGGTAACTGTCAGAAGCTAAAATAGGAATGCCCCAGTGAGACTAGAAGTGGAAAGAGAGAGGGTTTTAAATTTTATTTCAGAGTCTTATGAACAGTTTTATTTTTTATAATATGAGAAGATATGATTTTAGTGTTTATTTTCATTTTAATTCCTCACCCAGAGGCTAGAACTCTCCTAACCTCACAGATGATAAGAAAGAAGTTTCAAAGTTTGAGAGATACAGAATGCTTAGCCAAAAGAAAAGACTTAGAAATCCATGATAAATGTCTTCAAATGCTTTAAAGTTAGCCATAAGAAAAAGATTTCAATTTATTCTATGAAGTTTCGTGAAGACAGAACCATGATGAGGATGTAAATTATGGGGATTCTGATCCTGACTTGCTATAATGAAGAACTGTCAAACAATTAGAACTATACAGAGAGGGCTGCCTGGGTGGTGCAGTCGGTTGAGCGGCTGACTCTTGATTTTGGCTCAGGTCATGATCTCATGGTTGTGGGATCAATCCCTGCATTTGGGCTCCACACTCAGCACAGAGTCTGCCTGGGATTCTCTCTCCCTCTCCCTGTCCCTCTGCTCCTCCCACCTGTTCTCTGTCTCTCTCTCTCTCTCTCAAATAAATCTTTAAAAAAAAAAAAACTATATAGAGAATATGGACCTCCTTGTTCAGTAGTGGGTTCCCTGTCTATGAAAGAGTTCAAGTGAAGGCTGCAAACTAGCTAGACAGTGACATTTTAAAGATGATTCTGATTTCACATAGAGGGTTACATGATCTAGATTCTAAAAGACCTTAAGGTCACTTCCAACATCATGATTCCAGGATTGTCAAGAGACCTTCAATTTCTTTGGTAATTTATCCTGTCTAATAAAGTCCTCACTTCCAGGAACTTATTTCCATATGCCTATACCCTTAAAATAAATTTGTTTCTTTGGATCCCTGGGTAAACGTAAATAATTAGGAAAAGGAAATAAAAACACTGAGCATCAATTATGTGATGGGCATGTCCTGAGTACTTCGTGTATATTATGTCATCCAGTGCTAAGAATAATTTTAAGAGATGGATCCTTAAATTATTTTTCTATTTTACAGACAAGAAACTGAGGTTCCAAGAGGTAAGATCATATGCCTCAGATCACATAGCCAAATGATTCTGGAGCCCAGATAAAAACCTGAGAGCCTAGCCTCTTAACCACTCTACTCCCTGTGAACTGTCTCAGGCTGTTCTTCTTCCATTCGCTACTTCATGGTAACAAACCAAACAAGCAGAAAGGACATCCTTCCAAACCAGACCTGCCTGACTCCAAAACCAATATTCTTTCTTAGCTTCAATTCTAGCTACCAGAATTAAAGGTAATGTGAACAGCATGAAGGAAAATAAGCTGTCTGAAATCCCATAAGTAAGTTTAGTTTCTGATCTGGTGATCTGAACTTGTATGGCCCATAGGAAATGCGTGTGTGGCTTGTTTTAGGGGAAGTGCCTACTCTTTTCAACACTGGATTATTTCAAAATAACTGAAAGAAAAAGTGCCAATCTTTGATAGTTGTTAAAACATACTTCAATATTAACTACTTAAGATTTTCAAATAATGTATTTTCCATATATATAATAAATCACCTGGATTTTCATTTGGGAAATTTTCATAAAGTAAAAGTCATAAAGTAAATAGAGCAATTAAGAAAATGAGAAAAGTTGAGTTTTGTAAAAACAGGACCCCAGCCTGCAAATACTACTACTTCCGCTGTCATTCTGGGCTTCACTAATAAAGTAAGTTCCCTACCGCAAAAACAGAGCTTTAGAAGGCATTATGAAGACTCTTCCTGAGGCCATTAATGTGTCAGTAAAACCACTTGACAGTATTTTTCGGTAGTCAATCTTTGGAGTCATAATCCTATGAATGAGCACTTTAAAAAGACCTCAAGTTTTTTATCGCCCATATTTTTTTTTTACAATTTTTATTATTTTGGCAGGAACTTCATCCCAAAATGAATGTGTTTCCAAGTCTGAACAACACTGCATTATTTACAAGTAAAGATACATGTAAGAAATAAGTCCCGTTTTTTTTAATGTGCTCTTATAACACATTTTCATTTCCTACTGCTTATCTTCAGAAATGCTTTCTTATAGGTAAATATTAAATTCTGCCTAATTTTCAAGGCTTGATACTTTAATAATTACTATTTGTAATCAAATTCAAGTTATTCATTCACTGAGGAAATTTGCATAGCTACTTACTGTTCTTGTCCTACTGACTTGACAACAAATAACTTGGCATCAGACAGATATGTAGGATATAGCTGTGACCCTACACATGGAAAGGGATTACTGATGATAGCAAAATAATATAATGACCAGGGTTCAAATCCCAGCTTTGCCACTTACGAGCTATGTGAACTTGAGCAAAGTATACTTAGCACAATGACTGTGCTAATGGTAAGTGATTGATAAATGGTGACTATTATACTAATGATTGCTGACAGTATTAATGTAAAAAATCTGAGAGCCTAAAACTTCACTCAGAAGTCTCACTGGTGGGATGCCTGGGTGGCTCAGTTGGTTAAGCAACTGCCTTCGGCTCAGGTCATGATCCTGGAGTCCCGGGATCGAGTCCCACATCGGGCTCCCTGCTCGGCAGGGAGTCTGCTTCTTCCTCTGACCCTCCCCCCTCTCATGCTCTCTCTCTCTCATTCTCTCTCTCAAATAAATAAATAAAAATATTAAAAAAAAAAAAAAGAAGTCTCACTGGTAGGTAAGCTATTAAAAGCGTAATTTTGAAATAATTTTATGTATATTGTAAGACAAAGCAAATGAGTAGATATTATGATTAAGATTCAAACGATACTAATATAAAACACAAAGATATTAGGAAACTCTAAATACCACTTTTAATTTAAAAATACCAGTATTAGTTTATGACTAAAAATGTATTTCTAGCTCTGTCCACCTAAAGAAATGACAGCCCAATAGCAATGAGCACACCGAGAGCCTCGATCTTGGTTTTAAGCACCATTCTTCAGGAAAAGGCACCAACGCTCCCTACAGAACAGGTTGATTTTAGTTCTGTAGTCTGAAAATTCTAAGTGATCCTAAGAGGCCATGTCTTCTGTCAGAAAAAGCAAGGAATTGTCAAAAAGACTAGAGTCAGTTTACAAGGTCACAGAGACCATCTTGAAGGGGCTGTTACTGAGCCAATATAGTGAATTTGGAGCACCAAAAAAAAAAAAAAAAGTAATTGATGGCAACGCAGTGAGTAAATAAAAATCCATGTGTCCATAGAACTGAAAAGAAAAGAAATAAAAAGCTTTTCTTTACAGAAGGATGCCAGCTAATAAGCAGAAGGAATGGTAAAATTAGAATATTACCTTTTTGCCACCCATGATGTAAATTAATCCAGGCAAGAATCAATGATGATAACACCACTCAGTAAAGTCAATGGGGAACAGAAATAATCTGCCAGTTATCAGAAATAATATGCCCAGAGATACCTTACTTAACTGCAGAAGAAAAAAAAAAATGTCCCTTTATGCTAAAGAGATGGGCAAACTTAGTGTCAGCAACAAGGAACAATCTAGCATGACTTGCCTATAATATGAAGTCTACAACTTAACCTTTGAAATGCCCTTGCCAAAATCATTTAACCTGAATCCAGTCCAGTCATTACCTAATTTTGAACTACATCTCCTTTACCACTTAATTGTCTCCTATGTACTTTGTTAACTGATTGCATTGGCTCACTTTGGCTTTTGAAAATTCACATTATTAATCCCATAATTAGTTTGTCACAAAAATATAAAAATAACTGAAAGATTATATAGTGTTAAAAAACATACAGTATTAATTGGCATGCTCAAACAGAGCTTCGGATAATTTGAAAAGATCAAGCAATTCATTGTACAAATAACGGTCTAGCATTGAAGAACTTCCCTTTGACGGTCTCTTCTAAGTAACACTCATCTCCTTCGACCCTGCAAGTATCCTTCTAGGGTTTTGTCTTACTGATACATTCTCATGCATGACAAATAATATAAGATTATTCATAGCAGCCTTGCTTATAATAGTGTATGGTGTATTACCATTTTGTGTTAAAAAATAAATGAAGGGGAAAAAATAATGCACAGCATGTTGCCATTTGTATTAAAATTAAAAAAAGAATAAGTATACACATCAAAGAAAATTTCTAGAAAGGTATATAAAAAAATAATTGTTAACAGAGGTTGCCTCTGAGGAGAATGACTGGGTGGCTGGTGGGAGGGGTGGGGGTGGGGAGGATTTTCACCATATACCTTTATGTCTATTTGGAATTTTGTATCTGGTGGATGCATTACCTATTTTTCAAAAAAAGTTAATGTTTGAGTATCAAAAATCCTTAGAGCCTAACTAAAGTAGGACACAAATTTCTACAAACTCTACTTTTAAATGTGCTGTGTGTCTTTTTTTTTTTTTTTCTAATTAGGAAAAAACTATGTACCCAGTGGCCTGCTCGGGTCACTGCGTCCCATGCTGCCCCCAGCCCTCCTGCTGACAGCTGCCTTTTGAAACTGTGGTCAGTAACACCAGTGTGCTCACCCACATCTGGTTTTCAATTTCTGCTTCATAAACATGATCGCAGGTGCACATGCACACTTCACATACTGTACCTGGTTCAACTTGTCTTTCTCCTCGGTGCAGGAGGCAGCTTTTTTCTGCTCTCTGTTTACTTCTGAAACCAGCCTCATGATGGTTTCTCTGCTAGCTTTTGCTTCCATCTCATGGACATTTATAGTCTCTTCAAGAGTAACAATCTGTCCTTTCACGAATGCATTTTCCTCGCACAGCTCTCTAAGCTGCAGAGAAAGCAATTACAGCTATCCTATAAAAATTAGCAATTTCACACGGCTTCCTCTAAGCAACTCTGATCTATGTACCCCGCTGACTGCATGATCACATGAAACCAGTGAAAGCACTGTCCCTCCATCCACTCAAAAGAACATATTGTCAAAAGCAGCCTCTAAACTCTGTTGTTATGCACAGACCCAGTGATCAAATTAAAATTAATCAAAAGATAGCTCCAGGCAACACTGCTGAAAGTCTTGCCAAAAGCTTCCCGACAGAGCAAGCGTCAGCAAGCCCCTGGCTTAAATAATCGAGGAAAGGTGATGTTCTACAGAGATTACAGCAGGGGAGGAAGCAAGGGACTTCTATTCAGCCCACGTCCACTGGCGCCAACTGCATGCGAGGCGCTACCTGGCGCAGGGGGAAACACACAGAAGAAAGCGGGACTCTCTTCTTAAAAAGAAAATCCTTCTAATTAATATAAGCATAGAAAAGTCCTGAATAACATGCTCAAACAGTGGCTACCATTGGGATTAGCAGAGCTTTTCACTCTCTATGTTGTGCATTTGGGTTGTCAGCTGAAAGCATGAGTAAGATTTGTAAGATTTATAAGGAGGGAAAATGAAATCAGACAGGCTTATTGGCCAGGGAACCAGCCCTGCAGACAGCTCAGCCTGGAAGGCCATGAGGACGCCTACAGGAAGAGATGAGACCCCACATTACAGAGTCAGTATCGGTGTCGTGACGCTCTGGGGAAGTGGCCAGCCTCAGCACCCGGCCAACATGGCGCCCTGCTCCCAACTCAGGGCTGTTCCCACTCTCCTGAACACTTTTCCGCATATGTGTATGCTCAGTCCCCAACATCTTTCAGAAGTCCCCACCTCAGAATGCAAGCTGGTGCAGCCACTCTGAAAAACAGTATGGAGGCTCCTCAGCGAATTGAAAATAGAGCTACCCTACAACCCAGCAATTGCACTACTAGGGATTTACCCCAAAGATGCAAATGTAGTGATCCAAAGGGTCACCTCCACCCCAATGTTCATAGCAACAATGTCCATAATAGGCAAACTATGGAAAAGAGCCCAGATGTCCAACAACAGATGAATGGATAAAGAAGATGTGGCATATATATACAATGGAATACTACTAAGCCATCAAAAAAATGAAATCTTGCCATTTGCAACAACAAGGATGGAACTAGAGGGTATTATGCTAAGGGAAATAAGTCAATCAGAGAAAGACAAGTATCTTATGATCTCACTGACAGTGGAATTTAAGAAACAAACCAGAGTATCTTAGGGGAAGGGAGGGAAAAATAAAACAAGACGAAATCGGAGAGGGAGACAAACCATAGGAGACTCTTAATCATAGGAAACAAACAGGGTTGCTGGAGGGGAGGGGGGTGAAGGGATGGGGTAACTGGGTGATGGGCATTAAGGAGGGCACGTGATATAATGAGCACTGGGTATTATATAAGACTGATGAATCACTGACCTCTACCTCTGAAACTAATAATACATTATATGTTAATTAAGTGAACTTAAATTAAAAAAAAAAAAGTCCCCACCTCAGAGGGGCATTCCTCGGTCAATCTGCCTAAACTAGCCTGCCACGCCTCTAACCTGCCTCACTCTCTATCCCCACATCCCCATTTACTACATGGGATAATACTGGATATTTGTTTTTTCCTCATTATCTTTATCTCACAATAACGAAACTTCTAGGAGAGCACAGATTTAGGCTTATCTCATTCACTGCGGCACCACCAGCACCCAGAATCGTGTCTAGCATATAGTAGTCACTCACTAAATATCTGTGAAATGGATGTCAACTAAGTCCTTAGGAACGCCTCTTTGGTTTCTGGGGGGGGGGTGCACATGTGGTTGGGAGAGTTGTAAAAGGGAGGAAATGGTTTTGAAATTGAAGGAGTGGTTTTGTTCCAATCCCCAAGGGAACACCTGGTGAGTGTTGGTAAGATAGCAACCTTTCCACTCTTGGCCAGAGATTTTTTTTTTTTTTTTGAGATGCTAAAGCCCTAGAATCCCAGTATCTGTTTTAAAATATAGTTTCTTTTGTTATTCAGGTATGGTGCAGTGAACAGATCTGGAGAGAGCTGCCCTTGAAAAACAGTTAACTCAGTTTTCCAGAAGCAGGGGGGGGGGGGGGCACGCCCTGCCATACAAGGCCACGCAGGGAAACACGGGTCAGTCAGGAGACAGGACAGCAAAGGAAAACAGAGGCAAGAGTCTTTATTGTGGTTTCCACAGGAGGGAGTGAGCAAGGCGAGGTAAGCAGGTTCAGGACTGGCTAGTTAGTACTCTAAGGAGTTTAAGGGCTGTCTCTAGGTGTCGGGTACCTAGCCCTGTGGTGATCAGGGAAGGCGAAAGGCGGACAGCAGCCCAGAGCCTGATACAGAAACCGGCCCAGAACCTGATGTAGAAACTGGCTGGGGATGTGGGGGCGGCTGGTTTGCATATGAAAGCCGGGCTCCCAGGAGGGTCATTGAGGAGGAACTGGCTAACCCTCTGAGTCAGTCTCTCCTGGGTCAGCAAGGCCCCAGATGTCAAAGCATTGGAAATACAGAAGACAATAAGGCATAATTAATACAGTATCAACTCCCAGATTAGCACCTGGAGCTAGTCTCTGACAGGGGGAAAGGGTGTCATGAAAGAAGAAGGTTCTTCGTTCTCTTTTCTTCTCCCCATCACGTGGCTTTAAAAACAGTCTCCCAAACTGCACTGCACTGTGGACTTTCACAGCCAGGCTCCTGGTCACAGGTGCGCAACAGGGAAGAGGAGATGCATCCAGCACCCTCGAGGCTATCAGGCCTGAGCTATCAAAACCCGTCAGCCGAGGACAACACATCCTCAAGTTAACGGAAATGATTTTGCAGTTTTCCGGAAGTACAGTTGGGAAGCTTACTAATAAAACTCCGAGATGGGGCTTTTAAGACTGGCTGCATGGATTAATGAAAGAAATTGAAGGAGACACAAATAAATGTAAAGATACTCTGTGCTCATGGACTGGAAGAGTTGATATTGTTAGAAAGTCTGTATTGCTCAAAGCAATCTATAGATTCAACGCAATCCTATCAAAATCCCAATGGCATCTTGCAGAGACATAGAACAGTGATAATGTCCATATGGAACCACAAAAGAGCCTCAACAGACATAACAATCTTGAGAAAGAAGAACAAAACTGGAGGCATCCTGTTCCCTGATTGCAAACGATATTACAGAGCTATCATCATCAAAACAGTATGGTAACAACATAAAAGCAGACACACAGATCAACAGAATGGAATAGAGAGACCAGAAATAAACCCACACACATGTGGTCAATTAATGTACAACGAAGGAGGCACAAATATACAATATGGAAAGGACAGTCTCTTTAATAGGTGATGTTGAGAAAACTGGACAGCCACATGCAAAAGAATAAAACTAGACTACTGTCTTATAGCACACACAAAAATGAACTCAAAATGGATTAAAGAGTTGACTATAAGAGCTGAAACCATAAAATTCCTGGGAAAAAACAGAGGCAGTGAACTCACTGACATCAGTCTTGGCAATTTTTTTTTTTTTGATCTGACTCCAAAAGCAAAGGCAACAAAACAAAAATAAACAAGTGAGACTATACCACACTGAAAAGCTTCTGCATGGCCAAGAAAACCATCAACAAGATGAAAAGGCAACCTACTGAATGGGAAGAAAATATTTGCAAATCATATACCTGACAAGAGGTTAATATCCAAAATATATAGTGAACGCATATAGGAAAAAAATCCAATTTAAAAAAATGGGCAGGGATGCCTGGGTGACTCAGTCAGTTAAGCGTCTGCCTTCGGCTTGGGTCATGATCTCAGGGTCCCAGGATTGAGCCCCACGTCCAGCTCCCTGCTCAGTGGAGTCTGCCTCTCCCTCTCCATCTGCCTCTCCTCGCTGCTCATGTGTGTGCGCACGCTCGCTCTTTCTCTCTCTCTCTCAAATAAATAAAATCTTAAAAAAAAAAAAAATGGGCAGAAGACCTGAATAGCCATTTTTCCAAAGATGACATACAGATGGCAGACACATGAAAAGATGTTCAACATCATTCATCATCCAGGAAATACAAATCAAAACCACATGAGGTTTCAGTTTACATCCATCAGAATGGTTAATACCAAAAAGATAAAAAGTAACTATTGGAGAGGATGTGGAGAAAGAGGAACCCTTGTGTACTGTGGGTGGAAATGTAAACTGCTACAGCCACTGTGGAAAACAGTATGGAGGCTCCTCAAAAAATTAAAAATAGAACTGTCATATGATCCAGCAATTCCACTTCTGAGTATTTACCCCAAGAAAATAAAAACACTATTTAGGAAAGATACATGCGGGCGCCTGGGTGACTCAGTCCATTAAGGGTCCAGCTCTTGATTTTGGCTCAGGTCATGATCTCTGTCTGGACCGTGAGATAGAGCCCCACGTTGGCCTCCGTGCTGGGTGTGGAACGTGCTTAAAATTCTCTCTCTCTCTCCCTCTCTCTCTGCCCCTCCCCCACCACTTGCACTCTCTCTCTCTTAAAAAAAAAGAGAGAATGAAACTTTGCCATTTGTGACAACATGGATGGACTTTGAGAGTATTATGCTACGTGAAATAAGTCAAGAGAAAGACAAATACTCTATGCTTTCACTTATATGTGGAATCTAAAAAACAAATGAGCAAACAAAACAAAACAAAAGCTCATGAATAAGAATAACAGAGTGGTTGTTGCCAGTGGGAAGGGGGTTGGGGGGGCACAGACTTCCAGCTGTGAAATGAATAGGTGATGGAGATGCAGTGTGCAGCATGGTGACTACGGTCAACAGTATCCTAGTACACATTTGAAAGTTGCCAGGAAAGTACATCTTGAAAGCTCCCCTCCCAAGAAAATAAATAAATAAATTTTTTGTAACCTTTCATGGTGACAGATGGTGACCAGACTTATATGGTGATCATTTCACAGTGTATACAAGTGTTGAATCATTATGCTGTACCCCTGAAACTAATATAATGTTGCATGTCAATTATGCCTCAATTTTAATAAATAAGATTGGCTGCAAGGAGATCTGTCAGGAAGCAAGGATACAAAAGGTGTGAAATAAGCAAAGACAGGGTGGGATCTCCAACATTGTCAGGTGCCCTAATGAATCACTATGTGCCAAGTGAATTATTCATTGACATAACTAATTTCCACCTTACTGGCAACCTTTTTATTATTTGATTTCAATGGAAAATTAAAAAGTACTTTAGAACTAATCTTAACCTTATACTCAGTAAGTATCCCAAAAATGACAAAGCTGGTTTTGGTTTGGGTTGCAGGTGTGTATGCTTCTGTTTGTAACTAAAACAAAAAAACTCCCTAAAACACATTGTTAAGATGAATAATTAATTGTATTTGGCAACCTAAATATATTTTAGACAAAACAATTAATCTTTTCTGGAGAGTAATTAATCCCAAATAATGTTGGAAAGGATTCTGGAATAGAGATCAGAGAGGTGAAAATGTTTGTCCCAGATCACATGGTCAATTAATGCTATACTTGGGCTACTGTCCCATTCTCCTGCCACCCCCAGACTCAAACACAGCACTTCCGTTCACGGCATATGTCAGAATGACCGCTACATTTATCGTCTTTTTCATGTGCATACACCTTTAGGATTAAATCTTCATCTGATGCCTTTTCATTCTTCTTCTCTGGATCTAAGCAGTCACCAAGTTGAGCTAGAAATTCCTCATGTTTCCTGCAATTCTTCGAGACTTGATTCTTATTCTCCTCATTTTCCTTTAAACACTTTCTATAGGGTAAATAACACATACGTCAAGTTGTAACACTACAGAAGAGATCATTCATCAAACAAAGTTCAGAACTTAAGCTCTCTGATCCAATCATCACTTTCATCACAACACAGTTTCCTGGACACAGAGCACATCATTGTCATGCGAGCCCTGTACAGGAAGGAGAAAAGTCAAAGCCAGGCACCTACACTTAGCAGAAATGTACAAAAATCTTCATGGCATCTTAGATCTAGTAACAGCAAAGGAGACAGACTCTCTGCCTCTTGTCCTTGACCATTTAGGATCTGCAGAAGTGGCAGGAAATCTCTAGATCACAATGGATGTATACAGTCATGGGTCTGTGTTGGGTCCTCATGAGGAAGAAGGACAGTACTGCTATATTTCTTTTAGTGTATCATCTTTTGCTTTATTTTCAGACGCTATGCAGTGATCTATAAGGGTTACTTAGGGCATACCCTGGGTCATGGCCAAGCATAACTATAATAAAAAAATACATCATGGGCACCTGGGTGGCTCAGTCGTTAAGCGTCTGCCTTCAGCTCAGGTCATGATCCGAGGGTGCTGGGATCGGGCCCCGCGTCGGGCTTCCCGCTCAGCGGGAAGCCTGCTTCTCCCTCTCCCACTCCCCCTGCTTGTGTTCCCTCTCTCGCTGTGTCTCTCTCTCTCTCTGTCAAATAAATAAACAAAATCTTTAAAAAAAAAAAAAAAAACATCAGGAGCAGTGGATGTTCCCCCTCTAGAAGAGAGAGATGTTCAATCACCAGCAAAGACCATTATTAGTTTTCATACATCCAGAGTGTTTAAAGAGTATTGAGATGGGCCAGTCAAGGAAAATCAGTTGATTATGCTCTGCTATGAATATTTCATTTCAAATCTGAGGTAGTTTTGCTGAAATAGCACGGTCTATTTCTAATGCTTTAAATGTCAAGAGACTAAGAGATCATCAAAAAACACACATACTTTAAAGGCAAATTAGAATCATTTCAGTAATTTGGTATTATTTTTTCAGTACCCTAGATAATAAACATGATTATTGCTTTCCCTTTTTACCATGTTGAGTGTTTACTGCAAATTCTTTCACTCTATTCAAAGATTAACAAAGCATGTAATTGCATACACTCAAAAGCATATCATATTTCTATTTAGAAAAATGTATAACAATAAAAGACCAACATCAATATATCTCTAAGTTCTTATTTTCAGCGTATAAAAGGTAAAATTGATTCAGTCTCTCTGGCTCATGAAAAGCACAGTTAATGCTATGATGCGGATGGATTGATTTACATGTATGAATCCACCCATTCAGTCCAAGGCTTCAATCTTGCTTCTCCATCCCAAGTGTGGCTGAACTGTTCCCACTTGTATTTGCATTTCACTTGGACCCAATAAAGTCCTAGGAATCTACCCTACAGACATAATCACATAAATGTGAAAATACGAATACACTTGGTTTATAATAATTCTTTGAGTGAAACTAACCTGAGTGTCTGCAAGAAATAACAAAAAGAACTGGTAAGTAAATTATGATATGTCAGGCAATGGGTACCATGGGCTATTAAAGATGATACAATGAGTGACTTTTTAAAATATGTACAACATAGGGGCGCCTGGGTGGCTCGTTGGTTAATTGCCCGACTCTTGATTTTGGCTCAGGTCATGATCTCAGGGTTGTGGAATTGAGCCCCACGTTGGGCTCCACGCTCAGCACAGAGCCTGCTTGAGATTCTCTCTCTCTCTCCCTCTGCCCTTCCCCCTGCTCCAGATCAGTCAATCAATAAAATCTTAAGAAATATATGTCTACAACATATTATTCAGTAAAAAACATAGTACATTATATGATGTCAACTACCTGAAAACCTGGTCACCAAAATTTGAAGTATAGCTTTTCAGGAATTATAAGGTCTTGAATAATTTTAATATTTTTGGCAATTTTCTATATCTTAAAAAAAATTTTTTTACAATTAGTATAGATCACTTGTATTATTCATTTATTTAGTAAGTATCTACTGGATACTCACTATGCACCAAGCCCAATTAAAGGTACTAAAGATACAGTAGTGAACAAAACAGATGAACATCCTTGCCCTCACGGAGCTTACATTCTAGTCAGGAAGATGGACAGTAATCAAAATCAATGTATGTGAAATGTATACTGTTATAAAAAAACAAAAAAAGCCAGAGAGAAAAAATCAAGCAGGAAAGGGAGGAAGAAATATTTGGCAGGGGAGCAGAGTAAAATTTTAGATGTAGTCACTCGTGGAAGACCGGAGGAAGCGACTTTTGAGTGAAGACCTAAAGGGAGAAGAGGGGCAGCCATGCCATATCTGGGGGAAGAGCTTTCCAGGCCAAGGGATTGGCAAGTGCAAAAGTCCTGAGGTAGGAACACACCTGTTACATTCGAAGGACAGCAAAGAAGCCAGTGAGCTGAAATGGAAAGAATGGAAAGAGAGAATGGAAGCAAAACCAGGTCAGGATGAGCCTTCTAGGTCATAGAATATCCTTTGTCTTTACCCTGAGAGAGAAGAGAAGTCCTGCAGGCCTCTGAGCAGAGGACCGAAGAGATCTATTGTGTTTTTACAGGATCAATCTGGCTGCGAGGGGCACAGGCAGCAGCAGGAAAATCACTTCGGAGGCTACTGCAAACATCCCAGAGAGAGATGGTAGTCCCTGGAATCAGGTTAATGGCAATGAGAGCAACAATGGGAAGTAGTCAAAATGTAGATTTATTCTGCAGGTAGAGATGAGGGGACTTGTTGAAGGATCAGACACAGAGTGTGAAAGAGCAAGAGGACCAAGGATGATGACTAAGGTTGTTGACCTGATGGACTAGAGGAATGGAATTATCACTAGAGATGAGGAAAGGAGCAAGAGGGTTCTGTGGGAACAGCAGGAGCTCCGTTTTGGCCATGTTAAGTGTGAGATGCCCATTGGACATCCACATGCCAAGGCCCGGTAGGTAGTAAAAATATGTGGGTCTTCCTTGAGGTCTGAGAAGAGATCCAGGCTAGACATAGAAATGTGGGCATCACTAGCATTTAGATCATACATAAAGTCACGAGATCACCGAGAGAATGAATTTAGATAGAAACCAGAAGAGATTCAAGGACTGAGTGCCCAGGCACTCCAGTCTTTGGAAGTCAACAAGATGAGATGGGGAAAACAAAAGAGACTATGGCAGGCAGCTAGGAAGGAAAGATACAAAGTCAGCATGGGGAGTGTCCTAGCAGCCAGAAGAAGCAGGTGGTTCAAGGAGAGAGACCAACTGTGCCTGACATACTGGTAAGTCAAGTGAGACAAAGACTGACCATTTAATCCACAATGTGTGGTCATGGGTCACCTTAGTGAGTGGTTTCAGTGGAGGAGACCCAAGAGAGAAGAGAGAAGAAGAACTGGAGACGATGAGTCTATACAAACATTTTAAGGAGTTTTGCTGTAAATGGGGGGAGAAAAAGAGGACAAGAGTGGCGGTGTTGGGTTTTTTTGCTTTTTTAAGATGGAATTAAGTAAAATAAGTATCAAGTATCTTATTATTAAAGTTATTTATTATGCTTAGAATTTCAAAAGTATATTTTTGGAACAACTAGTTCCCAGTTTTGTCTCAATAATTACCTTTTGCCAGAACTAAGTGTGGAAAACTAAGGTTTCGTGAGTTTTCTGCATAAATGGGCAATAAAAGCTAATGAGGAGTGTTCAGGGTGGTCTGGAGTGGTCTGGGCTTCCCGGGTAGTTTTATAGCTAGCTTTTGAATAAACACCTCCCTCTGTATGCCACTTCACTGCCTCTGGTTAAACCTCTACTTACAGAAAATCTTCCACATTCTGTATATGAGCATTTGCAACCCTAATCAATCGGACAGAAACAGGCTTAGGACAATGCCTTGTTTGTTAAGATTCCTGGTAACATTTGGAAATGAGCTTGAGAAAAATTTTCAAGACTCCAGAGATATTTGAGCTTCAAGATTTTTTTTTTTTCAAATTGAGTTTCAGGGCCAAATAAGGCAGCAACATGCCAGTACCTTCAAGGGCATATCCTGCTATCAGGAGCTAGTATTTTAATGCTAACAACTACAAAATGCATTGAAATACCCTTACTGTAAGTTCTCATCTAGTTCTGCAACTTTCTTCTTTAACTCCTGGTTCTCCTTGATTGCAGTGTGAGCTGTGATTTCGGTTCTAATTTTAGAAGTGGTAAGTGCTGCTGATTCTTCTTCCAGCTCCTGAACTCTGTCTCTCAGGGAGGTGAGGAGAGATGATTTTCTAGCATTATTTTCTTTGTAATTCTCCATTTCAGCTTTCAACTCTTGACAGGAGGCTTCTTTCGAAAGCATCTTGGATCGGAGGTCTCGAAGCTAACATGGAAAAGCCATAAAAAGGAGGAAAAGGATTTCAGTGGCGTTAAGTGTGAAGTACTTTTAAGAAACCCAAAACCATAATTTCAAATCTCACTCTTTTGCTCATGACTTAATCCAACTTTATTTTCTTTTTTTCATATTTGTGTCTATATCACCAGATGGGAACATATGCCTAAACAATGGACCTCATATTCTGTCTCTTTTGAAACCAATTGAGCAATGTCTCGGGGTGATTTAGTGTCACTCAAGAGACATTTGTGGTGTATTTTGCAAAAAGTGATATTTTTCAATGGTAACTCATTTTCTAAATCTGCATTGCTGTTATTGCTGCTGACAATGAAACAAGAAACCTACAAGCTAAGATATTTGTAATTTCATGGCCACAACTGGTTCCTAAGTAGATACAGACTATTTGATATGTCACTGTATTTCTCCCACTTGCCTTCAGGATCCTTATTGTGGGCAATAAAAAAATATTAATGATAAAAAAATAACATTCCGATTTCTGGGGAAAATATGGAAGAAAAGGAAAATCCTTATAGGTTTTATACAAAAGAAACATTTTAACTTTCATGAATTCTGTGGCATCAAAATATTGAACAACGTATATGCCCTATTAAGATGTCAGGGCCACCCGATAAGAAAACTTTATGAATGCGTGTACTTCTTTGGAACTATGAGTATACATGCATACAATTTTTCACACACACACACACACACACACACACAGAAGGTATCAAATCATCTCTCAGTGGACTCCTGGTAGCCCAATGAAAGAGCTAGTTACCTCATAAGCAAGCCCAGGATCCCTCAGGGCCACCAGGCTATGAGCAGAATGGTTCTAGAGAGACTCTCTCAGAAACTCTACAATAGACCTGATCCAGCCCAGAGGGAAGATGGATCCTAATCATCGTCCTAGAATTTCCCCCAGCCAATCAGAACTAGCAGTAGGAAGGGATCCAGCATTCCATTCTAAGACCTCCAGATTGCAAGCAAACCACGTTAAAGGTACATATTCAGGGAGATGCTAAAAATGCTCCAACACCAAGGCAGCTTCAACCAAAGTCATCAGGTGCCTCCAGGTCTGTCAAGGCTGTGAAGCTCCTCGGACATCTGGGAACCAGCCAACATCACCTTGCTTTGAACCACGGCAAATGCACAACCTTTCAAGAATTCTCTACAACAAGGGGAGTAGATGAACCAGAGGCGTATCACCTTTGCCAAAAGGTGTAAAGCTGTGCCCTCCCGTCCTATTTCTAATCACCTCTACGCTCTGCTTCACTCTAGAAGAAGCTAAAATGGCCCATTTTGAAGTCATGAAGATGCAGAGTCTTACCTCAGACTGAGCACATTCAAATTTGACCAAAGTTGCCGCCAGTTCACTTCGAGCGTTTTCGGCCACATTCCGATAGTGGTTTAGTTGTTCCCGGGTGACCGGGACTTCCAAGGGACGGCCATGAATTTCCTGACAGGGTTCCCCCAAACGACAAAATATAAAGAAGAGTTTTAAACAATCTTTTTCCATGCAGCTGTGCAGAGCAAGATTAAACACAGAGCATTCTTTGTAGTCCAAATGTCTCGAAAATGCTGCCCAGGCAGTGTCTTGTCCAGATCATCTCACTCTCAAAATTCTGAGGGAGGCGGGAGGCAGCCCAGGAACAAATGATGTGCTCTCCCAAGATGGCATTTAAGGACTGGCCTTTGCCACTTTAGAGAACTTCCTTCCACCCAACTCAAATGCTACTTGACCTCTGACCAGAACCAATGATAAGAGTCCCCACAAAACTGTCAGAAGAGACGCAATGTGACAAGGTCCACAGCAAAGAGGCAGTTTTCATTGTCCTTCTGTTTCCAGACTACAAAAATGATCAACCCACCTCATATTTTGAATAAAGGGCATCATTTGTTTACCAAAGAGATTGTGTGAGTTGAAGGCAAAAGGCTGCCTCCTTCCTAATTATTCACTATACCATTTATTCTCAATCTCATAGCCTATCTTGGGGTCATGACTCATGAAGGTGACTCAGATGAATACGGGAGACCACGATAGTGGGGTGGTACCCGAGGAGTCTTCCCCCCATCCGCCAGGCAACAGCTCTCAGTTCCACGGATGGCAGCCAGTGCAGAACTGTGGATCTCCGCGTGGCCAAGTTTTTCCTATTTTTCAAGACAAGTCATATATCCAGACTTTCTGAAGTAAAAATTCCCAGTTTTTTCAGCTTGGCAACTAATTTCAATGTTTAAAAAAAGAAACACTATGATCCAAATAAACACATCTGCAGAGCAGATTTGATGGGTTTGGCCTGTGGGTCATAGTCTGTAACCTCTGGTTCTGTTACTTACGCCATGAGACCAGCTTCTTTCAAGAATTATTCCTGAGCTTGGACAGATACCTACTTCACAGAGGTAGGGATCTGTGAAGTCTCCAAGGCTTGTGCTCTTTGTGAAAGACACACAGGAAAGCCATTCATTTTTGAAGGAATATGGAAGAGGTCACATAAAGGAAGGTTTCCTGGAATTATCTACGAGGCCTCAGGGGACATACTAGTAAAACTGGTTTATGGCTGCCCAGCTACTGAACTGCCAAAGACTACTGTTTGGAAAATGCTCATGAATGCAAAAGTCATCTCAAAGCCCTTAACTTTATAACAAGCGTTGTCATGACTAGTGCGTTTTGATGCACAAAATGCCAAGCAAAACCTTCACTGCACCTAGCAACAGCCCATGTTTGCCAATCACAACATATCCAAGAAGATGGTAGGTATGTACTCCTGGGGAGAAAGCATAAAACGTTTAGCTACATCTAATAAGAGAACCACATCCTGTTCAGCCTCACTTTATATTCAGAAGTGACTTCCCCACCCTAACCACCACAGCAAGATTTCCTAAAACAGGCCACATAAGGACTTTGGTCACTTATGAGAGGTATGAAGTAGAGTGTGTATGGCACATCATTTTATTTATTTTGTGTATTTATTTATTTAAGAGAGAGAGAGCGCAAGCGGGGGGAGGGACAGAGGGAGAGGGAGAGAACCTCAAGTAGACTCCACACTGAGCAAAGAGCCCAACTCAAGGCTCAATCTCACGACCTTGAGATCATGACTTCAGCTGCAATCAAGAGTCAGAACCTTAACACACTGAGCCTCCCAGGCACTCCTGTATGGCACATCATTTTATAAAATTCATTAGGAAAATAAGTTCTTCAATAGCTATGATTATTTCTTTCAATGACTAGCATCCTTTTTCAGGAAATGATGTAATCATTCCATAATGTTGTATCTCCTTCTTACGAAAAAGCAGTGTCCACTGGACATAATATTAAAAGCCACACGAGACAGTTCAGATATGGCCCTTCATTTTAGGAGATTACAATCTAAAGCAGAACAATACCAAAAATCATTTACATCTTCAGATGTGCATGGGTGAAAGAAACGACACGTTAAGATCTCATCACAATGCATACTAGGACAGGGCCCACATTAGGCAGACTCCTGATTACTGAGTTTAGAAGACAGTTGCTGAGTCTAAATCACCCTTCAAAGTCCAGCAGCCTGGAGATTATTCATCAACAAATATTTACTGAAAACTTACTCAAGGTCAGGCACTGAGGTTACACCCTACTAAGAAAAAGAACATTTATCAGACAACCACACTAATGATTACATAATTACAAACTGAAATGCATACAAGAAAGAAAAAAAAGAGAGAAAACAAAGGAAAGTGACTTACCATCAGAGACATGAGAAGGAAAGATTTCCCTAAAGAAGTGATGACTGAGTAGGTATTAAATAGGCAAGAGGTAATGAAGCAGGGGCAACACACATCATTCAAATAGCCAAAAGTCTGAGCAAGGGTCCTGTGGCAGGAACACACTGTGCGGTCAAAGATCTGAGCAAAGGCAGGGAGGCTGAGGGACAAGAACAACTTAAGAACAGTGGCTTAAAAGGCAGCTCTGAGGGGCGCCTGGGTGGCTCAGATGGTTAAGCGTCTGCCTTCGGCTCAGTGCATGATCCCAGGGTCCTGGGATCGAGTCCCACATCGGGCTTCTTGATCAGCGGGAAGCCTGCTTCTCCCTCTCCTTCTACTGCTCCCCCTGCTTGTGCTCTCTCGCTCTCTCTGTCAAATAAATAAATAAAATCTTTAAAAAAAATAAAAGGCAGCTCTGAGCTCATTCACATATGGTAGTGCCAGGTAGGGCTATTCTAACTTGTGCATTCTGCCATATGAAATTTAGAATCCGCTTATCAAATTCCCAAAAATCCTGTTTGTATTTTCATTGGGATCGTGTTAATTTTATAAATAAACTTAAGGAGAACTGACATCTTTTAAATACCGAAGCTTCCAATGAAAATCACTTTTTTTTTTCCATTTGTCCAGGAATTCTTCTATGTCTCTTAGTAGCTGTGATGATTAATTTTATGTGTCAACTTGACTGGGTCACAGGGTGTCTAAATATTTGGTTGAACACTATTCTGGTTGTGTTTGTGAAACCGTTCCTGGTGAGTTTAGTATTTGAGCTGGTAGACTGAGTAAAGCAGATTGCCCTCCCCACTGTGGGTGGGTCTCATCCAATCCACTGAAGGTCTGAATAGAACAAAAAGGCTGAATAAGGAAGAATTTGCTCTCAGACTGTCTTCAAGCTGGGACGTCGGTCTTCCTCTGCCTTTGGACTCAGACTCAGACTGGAACTTACTCCATCAGCTCTCCTGGGTGCCCAGCTTGCTGGTTACAGATCTTGGGATTTTCAGCCTCCATTATGCACAAACCAATTCCTTATCATAAATCTCTTTCTAAAGACAATATAGTAAGAGAAAAAAATTATATGGCGAGAACCCTGACTGAGCACTAGAGACACTTCTGTGCTGAGATGGCTCTGGAATGTGCCACAGAAATCCATTCCTTCAAGACATTCGGAGGTCGCCTAACTGAGAAGAAATGAATGGCAGTAGCAGGAGAGGGTTACAGGGACAAGGAAAGACAATCCAAAAGCTGAAAGAAGAATACATGAATGTATTTCTTTATGACTAAGCTCTTCCATCTCAGCCCTTCAATCACCTGACAGATCCTTATGAAGTGTTTGTACCATCTCCTAGATATCTCCAGTTTGGTTTGGAATTCTTCTTTCACCTGAATTAAGAGCTGTGTTGTTGTTACGGCTCTTTATTTTCTGGGTTTGTCATGGATTTCTACTTCATTACTCCGTGCTCAGAGCACACTGTCTGCATTCAGGGCTGACGCTCATGGGTGTACTGCAGTGTGGTGGACCAGTTTCCACTCAGAATTGGATCTATTCAGGCGGGGCGGTCCCTTTGCTCTACCAGCCATTACCTATTTTCCCCCATCATCCTTGTCTATGTTATTTCTACTTCAGGGAATTTATTGAGGTTTTTGTGAATGCTCAGTTTCATGAAGGTCTTTCGGGCACCTGAAAAGAAGGTGTATTCTCTGTCTTCAGGGCTTGGAGTCCAACATCTATCTTAGATGTACCTTACTCATTATTTTAACTGGGCACTTCTAGCCCAGCCTCATTTCTGTCCTTTACTCTGTCATGAGCTGAGAGGTGAGTTTAACCTCCCATCACTACTGTAAATCTCTATCACCTGGTACCACGTTTTCTTGCTTTGGGAGGGTTGGTGCTGTTCGACTTGGTGTAAAGATTCAGAACTTTATCTTCGTGGTGGGTTGTACCGTGCAGCATCATAACATGCTCACTTATTCCTTTCTGCTCTGAATCTAGTTTTTTTTCATATTGAGACCACGATCCCTGATTTTTCTTTGTTTGAATCTGACTACCTATACCTCTGTTCCATATTTTTATGTTCATCCCTCCTGGATCACTTTGTTTTTGATGTCTCCTATGTAATACAGCTGTGTTTGGCTTTGCGATCAATCTTAAAATTCTTTTTCCTGTCCTGGATGTCTCCATGACGTTTACACCTGTTCACGTGACAGATAAACTTGGTCTTAGCTCTGCTGCATTATTTTATGTTATGCTTCTTGTTTTGATCGCTCTTCCAAAATCTTTCACCACACATCTGTTTGCTTTGCTTTCTTTGGTCGGACCATTGGGAAGGTTTGTATTTTTGTTCTAGTCTGAAGCTTAACCATAACTTTAAATAATACTTTTTAGACAACATCCACTAATTCACTACAATAGCCTACCTTCCCTTCCTTGCTCCTCTCGTCCCCTCTCCTACAACTTCGAATTTTTGATCTTTATATTCTCATTCTAAATACTTGCCAGTGTAGCCCCAAAGTTACTAGATGGAAGAAACCAAAATGCTTATGCTACCTCTCCCTTCTTCCTCTCTTAAGCTGGCTAGTCTTTTCTTCAGGGGATTCTCATAATGCACGTGCTCAATCTCTTCTCTATGTATTCCATTTTATTCACTTCCTCCCTGTTCTTTTTTAATTCTTTATTTCCATTCCATCTCTCTTATTCTTCCTATTTCTTCTCTATGCTCGCCTGCCTCCCTGTGTCCCATTAGGTCTTGCCTTTATTTCTGCAATGGCTTCACTTTTTTTGTCTTTTCTCTCCTGAACCCCGCCAGGTCACATTTCATCTCCTCTCCTCACCTCGCTGTATCTTTCTTGAAGTCCTGTATCATTGCTTTCCGAATACACTTCAGGCACATGTTGGCTTTATTCAATTGTTTTATTCACGATGAATGTTTGGTCACAAGTTTTCCTGTGTTGTTTCCTCTTTGATTGCTCATTAGAAGGTGAGTGCTCGCTGGGCCAGCTGTGGAAGAGGTCAGTGTGCACACAGGGATGGGAAGGTAAAGTCACTCAGGCTCCAGCCAAGCAGGAGTTTCCCTAAGACTCAGGATTTATATACAACTTCATTTGACTTATCTTTCATTCCAGCCCATGGAGAGGGTTTATCACAATGCAGACTTTCCACGAGCGCCCTGCTCCACAGCTTCCTAGAAATCTGGCTCATGGCATGATTTTTACTTGGCTCTCCCTCTCCTACTTTTTGGAAGTCAGGTAGATGCAGAGAAGCTCCCATTGGCAGTCCACACACCTCCATCCTCTCTTGCAACAAGAGATATTGGCTCGACTCCTCTGAGTTGGCCACTCATCTTTGCAAAATAAGCTTTCCCAGCCCTTCCTACCCTCTGCAGCCAGGGTGCCTCCCGCATGCACCTCCCCTCAACCTCTGCTGCTCGGGAAAAGCTTGCCGCCTACTTTGTGTTACAAGATTTCAGCCATCTCCTGGATGGGCCAACAATGGAAATTGTTTCTCATGGTCTTTGTTGCCTGAGGCTAATTTCCAGGAGTAGAAGGGAGAAATGCTATCTGTATGTCACCATTTTTAAACTAGAAGTACCTAGTTAGATTTTTTTTAGCTAAATGGCCCTTTGGTGGCATTGAGGCATTAAAAAAAAAAAATGTCCTTTTAAAAATTTTGATTTTGAAAAAAAAAATCTAATTAAAACAATGTGATACTCAGCAGGAAATCAACAGAAAGACCAATAGAAACCCCAGGAACAGTTTTTAGTCTCCAGTGCTCAGAAGAATTTAGTGTATGAAGAAAGAGGTTATGCTATAAATAGTGGGGGAGAAAATATTGGTCAATAAATAGTGAAGCTAATTACTAAAGAAAAAAAACGAAATTTTAGAGCTGTATTACACATTATAAGCCAAAGTAAATTTAAGATAGACTTAAAGCACTGAATATTAAAAATGCAATCATAAAAAGTACTATCAATTTATATGTATCTTATCTTGAAAAGGATTTTCTAAGCATAGAAGCAATGAAAGAACATCAAGACAAAACTCACATATGACAACAAAATTTTAAAACTTCTATACACTAAAAATATATAAACAGAATTTAAAGTGAAGAACTGTAAAAATATTTGCAAAAGTAATATAGTCAAAACCGTAATATGCAAAGAACCTACTCAAACCAATAAGAAAACAAATACCCTAGAGAAAAATTACATAAAAGAACTAAC